TGCTTAGTTATTAAAACCAGCTTTCATTGCATGTGTAAGGAATGTAAAAGCTGCTCACAGTAATGAGTAGGAAGGCTTCATTTCTTATCACACATTGAGGGTTACTTGTGCAGTCATGCCTAAAGAATTAGAATAATCTAAAATGAGTGAAGGAAGAGAGAAAACCTGCAGCGAAATTGTGATTTTTCCACATTTTCTTCGGTGAACAATGAGTCGTTACCTCCTGTCAAACCCGCCTGTGGTCTCTAATCTAATCAAATACGATGTTACTGTTTGAAATATATTAATAAGACACTTCAGGGGAGGGGGGGCACGACCATTTAGACTCAGGAGGGTTTTAAAGAAGAAGAAGAAAAAGAAAAAGTCCGCAATGGATCAGAATGTGTTTTTGTGTTTTTTTTCTCCTTCTCAATCTTTGCAGGCTGCAGGAAAATCCAGATTTCTTCCACCAGAAATCGAAGTTTAATGATCGATTAAAATCTCCAGATTCACACTTTCAGTTATTCTAAACTCCAGCTTATTTGAATCAGATCCTGAGGCATCTCATTTGGTTGTAAATTCAGTTATTAGATGATGATTGAAGGGAACATTGCCTTCTTTGTAGGGCTGGGTAATATATCGAGGTTTTTTTAAAGATATATCGATATTTTTTCAAACAAGATATAGTCTAAGACAATATCGTTAATATCGATATCGTTTAAGTTGCATTAAAATAATGTTATAGAGGTGTCAGGTCACCTTTTTCTCATCTCACTGATGATGACTGACTGTCTCCTCCTCTCTCTCTTTTATTGTATTTAAGGAACATTTTTAATTTATAATATTACTTCTTAAATTCACAAACAGGTAGTTTATTTTTCCACGTGTTTTCACTGTTAATAAAATACATTTCGAGATTTATATATCGAGTATCGCCATTCAGCTAATCAATATCGAGATGTGAGTTTTGGTCCATATCGCCCATCACACCTCCTGAAGCTTAATAAGCTTTATTTTGTATCTGATGTCAAAATGATTGTCTTAGTTGTTGGGGAAGTTGGGTGTAACCACTGTACTGTTTTATTTTAACTAATGTTTGATAATGAGCGTAGTGGAAGTCCTGATGTGTGCGGCCCGGAGACTACGGCGCTGCTGGTTGCTGTCTGTGGTCCAACATGTGTTGTTGTATGTGTTGTTCGTCCCCCCGGCACCCAAGCATGAATGGCTGCCACATGATAAGTGTCAACACCTGTGTCCTTCTCCATAAAGCTGTAAATGTAGGGTTCAGTTGTTGTTGTTGTTGGCTCAGATTGCAACGGCTTGTCAAAACAACAAAACTGCATCGCGCTTCTCTTAACGCTGGAAATCATTTGAGGTGTTTGAATCAGGTGCTTTTTAAATTTGAGGATTTAGAATCTGATCCTGGTCACAGAGGAGCGTGTTGTCGTCTAAAAGAAGTTACCCTCATGAGTTCTCTGACTCAGGTCAGTTGTTCCTACATTATAAATGAGGCTGAAAAGAAGGTTGTACACTCGTCTTTGGTCGTTGCTGTTAAGAACATGCACGCACAATGAGTTCATATCGATGTAGAATCTAACCTCTCGTGTGAATGTCTCTCCGCAGCACGAGGACGCGGCTGCCAGTCTGTGTCAGAAGATCAGAAAAGCCCCTGGTGGTTTCCCCTCGTGTCATAACGCTCTTTTAAGTCTGACCCCGGTCCTCTGCTGTTGCTGCAGCTCCATTGCACGGTGGGATGAGGTAGTAGGTTGTATAGTTTTAGGGTCACACCCGCACTGGGAGATAACTATTCAACCTACTGTCTTTCTCAAAGTGGCACGCACACTTCACGTCGTCTGAATCCCGTTTCCAGTCCTTCACCGTTTGTATCAGCAGAGAGAAGTTTGTTAGTGAAGGTGATTAGTCCCAGGCGCTCCCTCAGTGTGAGGTAGTAGATTGTATAGTTGTGGGGTAGTGATTTTGCCCTGTTTTGGAGATAACTATACAATCTATTGCCTTCCCTGAGGGGCGAAATATCTTCAGTTTTATTTTTTATTACAGTCTGTAACATTTAATTCTGCAATGCTCTTTTTTTTTCTGTGCCAACCTTTTTTGCTCTGATTGTCCGTTCTAAGTACCAGAGCATGTTGAAATATTTCAAAAGTCATACTGCACTTTTCTATTTTGTATCCCATAAAATGTGATGTATTGTGTGTTGGATCATTTGAGTATGTGATTGAATACATTTACAATACATGAGTGAAAACACTGACTTGTCTGGATTGTGTTTTTTTTCCCCGGTGTAAATATAAATCCATTTGCGTCTTCTTCAGCAGTTTGATAAAAAGTATTCTACAATTAATTTCGCTTTTATCCAAAGCCATGACATCAGAGTAAGAACAACACAAGTAAGGATCTAGAAAAAAGGGAACAGTGTCAGTAAGAGCAAACGATCAGCTTTGAGTCTGATTGGACACACAGGTGCTGACAGGAAGTGACCAGAGGCAAAGCACAACATGGACTGTTTAGAGCTCTGTATAGAAATCATCCTAAACTCACCATTATTAAACTAAACTATCATCATATTAGCAAAGAGTAATGAATTATGCACAACTATTAGGGCTGGGCAATATGGAGCAAAACTCAAATCTCCATGTTGTTTAGCTGAAAGGTAATACTCTATATATTTATAAAGAAGTAAGTTTGAAGATAATCCACAACACAAATGTTTTTGATTAACATTCGGCTGCACGGTGTCAACATGGACATGAAAAATGACAAATGGCTCTATGGAGACATGTATACAGATTTAATGCAACATAAACTATATGGATATAAACCTTATTGTCTTACCCTCTTATCTTGTTTGAAAACATTGATACATGAAGTGCTCACTGTCAAAGTCACGAGCATGTTCTAAGTGAATTGTGAAGCAGTTTCAAACAAAAAATTAAAACATAAGAAAAATAATCAGAGGATAACTGAATTAGTTTCAGTTTGGTGCTCTTTATGAAATGACAGAACATCAACATGTACAGTATGTTGGGGCTGCACAATACATCACAATGCCGTTGTTATCACAGTGTGAGCTTTCACAGTGTGAGTAAACAGCAAGAGTCTGAGTTTTATAACAATAAAGAAATAATCATGTTCAAAGAAGACCGATCTCAATCAGTATGTGCACGTTACCTGTCTGATGATGGCCAAAGCTTCAACAACAGGATGAAGTGGACATGAAGCTCCAGCTAACTGTCAGCTGTGGCTCAGTTGGTAGAGTCGACCGGGAGGTCGAGGGTTTAATCCCCAGCTCCTGCAGCCACATGTCGATGTGTCCAAGACACTTAACACTACGGCAAGACACCCCTAATTGCTTCTGCTGCTTAGTTGGCGTCGTATGAATGGGATATGTTACTCCTGATGGTCACTTTACAGCAGCCTCTACCATCAGTGTGTGAAGGTGTAGGTGTGACCTGCAGTGTAAAAGTGCTTTGAGTAGTCAGAAGACATATAAGAAGAATAAGATATACAAGCACAGGTACATTTATCCTTGGATTAGTTTGTGTTAGTTGATTGGTTTAAAAAAAAAAAAAGGGGGGTTTATTTGTGGTTGGACATGTTTGCAAACACAAGTATTGTGTACAGTAAGAACGGCAGATACATCAAAACAGAGTTACAGATCATATGCAGTCTTTAATATTTGTTTTTTAACCACACTTCATTTCATTATTGACCAAACTAATCACACACTACAATTCTCAGGCTACTACACTACAACATCTTGCAGGCTACAAAACATATATAGTAATGTCTAAACTGATGTCTGTGTCGATGATTTTGAAGGAGTGTGATTGTCTGGGAAATGAAAACCCTGTTCATTTGTGCACAAAACATCAAAGAGTAGCCGGAGCGACCTGATTTCTTTTAGTCAGTAGGTGGCAGGTCTTGTGAACATTAAAGGTGCAATCCAACTTGAATTAAATGTCAAATGATGTGTTTCAGAAAAAAACACATTTTAAATTGAGAATCAGAAGATTATAATGAAAGTGAAGGAGGCTAAGTCTGACATGCAGAGAGTAGAGAGAGGAAGTGAAAATCACTATATGAATGCATCATATAGTTTTCAACTTGGCTAAACGATTGAGGAATTATAAAGTTCTAATAATAATGTCTATTAAGAGTCTATAATAAAGGTGTAAAGAAACGTAACTGGAAAATGAGATGTCAATCAAAGCCAGTAGTTACACAATTCTGCTGGCAGGTGGTGCTGTAGTCTTTTTACTTCCTTCCATGGACTGAAGACATGAAGACTTTGAATCACTAAAAAGAAATCAAATGATGAGTTTAAGGTTTGACCTTGACTTCAAGTTTAAGATACCAACACTTACACTTTGACTTCTTTAAATGACATAGTGTAAATTAAAAAAAACAACATTGGTTCCTATTTGTTTCCAGTTTTTTCATACAGCCCAAATATATTTTAAGGTTCCTTTTTTTTTTTCTCCAAATGAGCTAACATCTTAAATGGGCAGGAAATAACTATACTAAACTTTATTATAGCATTAACATTAAATAATTCAGATGCAGATCTGTTGGTCATGAAAGTGATGTGTTTTCCCCCCAGAAATAAAATTAGCAGCAAACTGAAAACATTCAAAAGTGAACAAAGTATAAAAAGAAAGTATAAACAATTCAAAGCACTCAATGTATCATTAATAGTTGAATAAACCAACTCAGTATGCAGAATTAAATCTCCTAATTTAAGCTTTTTAAACTATGAGAATCACATTTCAAGAGCAGTATAGGCTAACTTCTAGACGTCCTGGTAGTGGGATGAAAGAATAACATTATTCTCCTGTTTAATGATAAAACTCAGAATACCAACAGGTACCTTCAAAACGGCACTGCGCGCCGCGATGGTTGATTGGAGCGCATCACTCAAGATGAGATGTGAACGAGGCCTTAAAAAAAAAAGATGACAGTGAATGTGTGGGAGGGGCTTATGTTGCTAGGGAATAAATGAAAAGGGTTGATAGGTGGTTGTCTGTCTGACATTAAGTGAGCACGGATGGATGTCCGGTCCAACAATGGAGATGTGCAGGCTGCAGCAGTGAACGAGTGTCAGGCAGGAGGACAGATGAGCTGAGCGTGTACCTGCAGGCTGAGAGAGTGTGAGCGACTCAGAGGCAAGATCCTCTGCAGAACACGCCCTTATAGAAAAGGTATACACACACACACACACACACACACACACACACACACACACACACACACACACACACACACAACACACACACACACCGAGCCTGATCATTGAGGAGCTGCTTACCTGGAAAACAAACAGCCCCAATGCTCCCGCACAGGCTCACACCACCGGACAGCTACCAAATGAAAAACCAGGACGAGTTGTTTTCCACAAACTTTGGTTTGGCTCGAGGAGTTTTATTCCCGCGTGCAGCCCGGAACACCTGGACGGCTCGCGGGGCTCGGTAGAGAAAATCCCGGCTGGTTGTTGCAACAGCAGAGAGCATTGATCCACCATGAGTAGGAAGACACGGCGCTGGATTTTCCATTTTTTCCTCTGCCTGGGAATTGTATACTTGAAAATCGGGTGAGTTTTTTTTTTTTTTTTGGGGGGGGGGGATGTCCTTGAAGTTGTTCATGCAGTTTGTTTTCACAGGGGAAACAAAGATTTTTAATTTAATCCAGGAAATATGTTGCTGATGGAAGAAAATTTGGAATTTCAAAATATGATCCCATCCAATGCCAGACTGCAGAACAGTAGAGGAAAAAAACAAAAACATTTTGCATCATACAAATGCATTTTACCTTTTACATTCATTTTAAAGGGAGCTGTTATGTTAGAATAAACCTAATTATAAATAAACACCCTCAATCTTAATTGTTTTTTTTTTAATTAGCATAAAAAAGCCTAACCTGAGGAACCTCACTTTCAAAATTTTATTTTTTATTTTTTATTTTTTAAAATGATGTCCTCTTCTCCGCAGGGGTCTGTCATCGGTGGTCGCGCTGGGAGCGAGCATCATCTGTAATAAGATCCCCGGCTTGGCTCCTCGTCAGCGGACTATCTGTCAGAGCCGACCCGACGCGATCATCGTGATCGGAGAGGGGGTTCAGATGGGGATCAATGAGTGTCAGTTTCAGTTCAGACACGGCCGCTGGAACTGCTCGGCCCTGGGGGAGAGGACCGCGTTCGGGAAAGAGCTCAGAGTGGGTATGTTGCACCTTGATTCTTTTCATGTTTCCACGCACTGAAACCATCGATTGTTTACGCTATATGATTGTCTCATTGGATAAGTCTCATTCTGTGGGATGTGTTTGAGTTAATCTGCTGCACATTGACTAATATTTCTACAAAGAGTCTATATAAGAGCATTTGAGAAATGACTGCACATGATCAGGAGTCAGAATTGTGTTGTTTAACTAGAAAGCTAATATTCAAGTCTTGCATTTAGCTCCACTTCAAACCTTGAGGTCTTCTTCCAGAGAGCTGACATTGTTGAGACATGTCAGCATGCCTTGATCTTCATAGTTACAGAGCCCACAAGATTGTTTTTTTTTTTTTTTTTTTACTAATAAAATAGTTATTACTTAGAAATAATATGGTTCATATTTACATGCCTGCATAATGGTACAGCAGTGGCTTTTATAATTGCGTGTTGCTTTGCACTCACAACAGAAGCAGCACCTTGTCTTCATTTTGTATGTTTATTTTTTATTTTTTGCTGCCTTGAATTGAAAAAGAAGTCGGCTTCAAGGAAGTTGTTGACTTTTCTTTTTGGGGAAAACTGCTTGTATAAAAAAGATTTCCCTCGTGGTATAAGACCTCTGACACTTTGACTAAAGTCTGCCATTCTGATGCTCTGACTCGGTGCATCTGGTCTCTGTGGGGGGGGGGGGGGGACTCAGATTTGATCTTGTGTTGTGGAATTAGTCTTGAGGCAATGCTTGCTTCAAAAAACAGGACAGCGGAAACAATCAGAGGATCCCGTTTAAACGCACGCTGTGTTGTCATTTAAGTCCATCCTGCATCTCTGACGCAGAGCCAGGATGTCATCCATACCTTTGATTGTCTTGAAGGGTTCCAGCTTACACCCTGTGCATCTTGAGCCTTTGATTTATACCGATTGCTGCCCCGTGCATGGCTGATTAATATTGTCATATTTAGCACTAGATTTAAAATCTGAGATGTGAAATCTGAATGATCCAGCTTGCTTTACCAGTTTAAAGAACTCAGTCGCACACGGTTAAAAGCTGCAGGATATATATTGTTTGCCGTGAGGATGAGCGTGCCTGTTTGTCTTATAAGTCAGTAGAAGTTGTGCATAAGCTTCTTGGGCTTACTCTTCATAAAGTGGCCTCTGATTCTGAATTAAAGGCATTGTCATATTTACTATAACTCAAGTGGTGTTCATTATGATCGTGCACTGCAGCTGTACATCTTTTTCTTTAGGTTGCTTTGTATCATGTAGAGCTACACCCCTCTCTGCAGCTTTTAACCACCTCCATGTATGTTCATAAAATACTTTTCTCCCAAAAGTTTCAAGTTCAGACAAGTACTTTCTTCTAGGTTTACCAATATACCTCCAGGTTCTGCAGATTTGGCAGGGCACCTTATATGTAGAATGATTTTTTTTTTTTACCGCAGCTCCAGGAAACAGCTCCACTTCTTATGATTAACTTTCGGATAAAACAGAGCCCATTCCATCATTGCACAATTCAGATTTTTTTTTTTTGTGTTGCGTGTGTGTGTGTGTGTGCCAAAATTAGAGGAAGAATCAGGCCGAGGTCCAGGAGACAGCAGGTCAGCTCGAGTGCTTGCTCAGGTCCAGCTGCACAGAGTCTGTCTGAACCCATTGTCTTGTTGCAGCAGACTGGAACACTGATAGCTGTCAGAATACATAAATCTGAGATTCCCGTTGGCAGTGACGCAGCAATGTACAGTATTTTGGCAGAGTGATCTAGTATCCTCCCCACCCACAAAGCTGGCTACTTTAAGGATCTCATAGTGGGTAAGAGCTCAACATTACTGGCTGTATCACAGAGTCGGTCCTTTATTCAGGGTTTACACGTCTGCTAATAGGAGGCTCATTGTTTGGTTTTTGTCTACTCTGCACTTTTTTAGAATCTCTAAAAAAAAAAGCATGATGACAGAAAAGATAACATCCACTTGTTGCAGCAAAGCTCGTCAGTTGCACATAAACTTCAGAGTTTGACGGAGTACGATGATCCCAGATGTTAAAATAAAAAGACGTTTGTGTGGCAGTTTAATCGTTTAAGATGATGACTTTATTGGAGTGAAGTTTTTTGTTTTTTTTGCAACTTATGAAAATTTTTTTGGAAGATTTTCCACATGCGCTCCAACAGGAATGATCTCCTTTTTTTTTTTTTAATTAAAAAATCACAGTTGACCTGAAGCACTCAGATTTATGGGGTGGAAATCCATCTATGTAGGGAGGCTCTGCATGCCTCTCAGAATCACCTCCACAGGGTGGATCCCAGATTGACAGTTGCTGGGACAATGGCCAAAAGTGATGCCTTTACCATTTCACTTTCTCACACTCAATGGTCACTAAAATCATCTTTTTCCATCCAATCATACTCCGTTAAATGACTCTTAAATTGGTACATTTATCAAACGACGTCACGATCCTGCAGGGGTTTTAATCAGTATTAATCACCGGGACAATCAAACTGTCTTGCTTCCCAAAGAAGTGTCTCCTTCAGGAGGCTTTTTTTTTTTTATCCTTTTCCATTGCACACTGCTCCATTATATAAGATTCAATCTATCCTGAGGTTTATCTGTTTTGAAAGAGCTTGATGAATGAATTGGACTTGGCTTGACTCGTGTATTTTATGATTTGGTTTGAGGCAGATATGCCAGGTATGTAAGGAGGCTTGACAGAGCCTGAAATAGTGAACACTCATAGCCTGCAATTGTGAGTAAAGACGTCTTTTTTTTTTTTAATCGCAGGCAGTAAGGAGGCTGCGTTCACCTACGCCATCATCGCTGCTGGAGTCGCCCATGCGGTCACTGCGGCCTGTACGCAGGGAAGCCTCAGCGGCTGCGGCTGCGACAAGGAGAAACAGGGTTTCTACAACCAGGAGGAAGGCTGGAAGTGGGGCGGCTGCTCTGCGGACGTCCACTACGGCCTGGGGTTCTCCAAAGTGTTTGTGGATGCACGGGAGATCAAGCAGAATGCCAGGACGCTCATGAACTTACACAACAATGAAGTGGGACGCAAGGTAGGTTTGTGCGAAATAGCATCTGATGCAACAGAAAAAAACAGAACATCCACTCTTATATATTCCATCACATGGACAGATAGAAGACATACAGACAATTTATTATGATGTGCAGCCAACATTGTTGAATGCAAAAAAAAAAATCACAGTGGAGTGTGAGTACCATAGACTGATTATAAAGCTCTCCCATCATGCACTGCTCCCTGAAGGAGTCTGTAGACTGTCACAGAGGGATGCACTGACCTAAACTGTTTTAGCAGAAATACAGATTTTCTTTTTTACTTTTAACCAGCGATTGTTGTTTATTGGGTTTGTGTGAAGCACACATGTTCAGTATGACACATCGGTTGATCCGTGTGGCTCACATGTCAAGCTCAGTGGTAGGTACGATCGCCTGTGGATGTGAAAGCAGAGAGAGTCTCAGACATTATCAAAGCTTATTGTGCGCATATGAAGAAGTAGGGGACCCCGGCTTCAAGTGTGTATTACAGTGCAGGAGCCTCGTCCCATCCAGTGCGCATATTAGTCAGTCCTCGGTCCGTAACAGGCGTCCATGAGCGGTGGTTGACCTGAGGTTGTTGGCTGTTCCCACCGCAGGGGCCGCTGTGGCTCAGTGGTAGAGTATGTCATCCCTCATCTGGAAGGTCGAGGGTTTGATCCTCAGCTCCTGCAGCCACATGTCGGATGCAAGACACTTACCCAAGTTGCTCTCACTGATTCTTTGGCAGTGTGTAAATGTGTGTGAATGGATACACACTGCTTGAAGGACTTTTGCTCCGTACTTGGGAAAGGATCCAACCACTAGGCAATCACCCCAGAGCCAAGTGTTTTTTTTTTTTTTTAAACTTGTTTTAGAGTAATTGAATTGGACAGATAAATAAGAACAAAGAAATGTTGGGAAATCATCAGTCGGACCCTCCAGACATTTAGAAACAGGAATAAGGTAGAGTCAAGACGATCCCATGTCTGACAGGATACACGGCGAGGTAGACCCGGTTCAGTGACATATGAGAGTGCATTTTCAGGAATCTGATGTTGTTTACTAGTGAAAAGACGAAGGGAGCCTAATGGCGGATCAATAGAAACTGCAGGACTGTCCACAAAGTGGCCCCTCAAGAAAGCAATATATTGAAAAAGCCGCAGCAGCAGGCACATAATGGATCAGTGAGGATCTGACATAAACTCGTCTGGATACTGCGCTGCTCCTTATCATGGATTCGGTTTTCAGTCAGACTTCAAAGGCTGATGAGAATGAGAAACAAAAAAAAAGCATTTATTTTATGAACGAAACACATAATGCAGTTTCCTCCTCGTTATCTACTAACCACCAAGGAGCTCTCTGCTAATCTTAGCAGCAGTCCATCCTCAGCTCCTGCAGCAACATGTCCGATGTTTCCTTTGGTAAGACACTTAACCTCGAATTGCTCCCGCTGCTTCGTCAGCAGCGTATGAATGGGATTAGTTACTTCTGATAGACACTTTACATGGCAGCCTCTACCATCAGTGTGCGAATGTGTAGGTGTGACCTGCGGTGTCAAAACGCTTTGAGTAGTCTGAAGACTAGAAAACAGCTATACAAGTCCATGTACCTAAATTAAAGGCAGTAGTATAAATAAAAAACAGCTCTTTAAAGGCAGTGCTGTGCTGTTATGTGATATCAGATCTTTGTTTTGGTGAGAAGAAAAGCCAATACTGCAGAGGACCTGTTGTTATGGATCTGCAGTGAAAGATCAAATGGCATGCTATTAAAACACCATGTAGGGATATTATTGAAAAGAAATGCTGCTTATATGTTTTGACAAGTGCCTGTTAAATTGTGAACGTGGTTTTGATGGGAATTGAGAATAACTCTAAGATATGTAACGACAGGTGTCTGATTTGTACATTGGGGGGGAAATCGAAATCGATACAGCAAAGGATTGCGATATTTTGCGTGGCAATATTATATATAAATAGTATGGCTATTTTTATTATATTAAAAGCAAATATATATTTTAATGTTTAATTGCTGAAGGGATGGCACAACTCATTTTGAACAAGTTGCATTGTTAAAAATGTCTGCAGTTGTTCAGCCGTCCGTGCATGTTTGTGTTCATTTCAGTTTGATCAGACTGAAATACAAACAGTTCAGATTGTGAGACACATGCAGACTTTTAAAGGGTTTGACTTTCATCACAGTGTTGGTCAGTCTGTGGGCTTGACTCCCGAAATTAAAAGACTAAAGTGAGATGTTGATTTAGTTTAATTTTGTGGACATCATGTGCAGTTAAAAAAGTTCAATCAATGCAATTCAGCATATCGCAAAATGTTTAAAATAGAAATAATTTTGTACCTTGACTGCAGTGGGACAGTTTTGAAACAACCTTGAGATAAATGACTGAATGGATGTCATGTTTTGAGCGACTGGAAACCCTTGCATATTCAAAAGGATGGATTTGTCAATGAAAGGTCAAAAACTGAACTGTGAGTAAAACTGACTTGAGCTGGCTCCTTGCCTTTAAATCATTTTATTGAGCTGTTATTCCTTTCCAGGACTAAGGGACAAAATAACACGTGATTCATCATGATTTAAAAAAAATGCATTCATTTATTTGATTGCATAATAAAATAAACTTTAAAGAGCTGTCAGGTGTAATATAACTACGACTATGTGTGTGCTTTCAATTGTAGCTAACTGTGGCTACATTGGAGAGGGTCATTTATGGACCAGTTGAGATTGATTTGTGAGGTTCAATTGGAGGACACAGACAACTTTTTGGCGCTAGATGGATTTATTTGATAATTTGTTTGCAAACCTGAGACATGACTTAGAGGTTAGATGACTGTTCACCGGGTGAAGCTTCTAAACATGAGACGACGACACGGACAATAACACAGCCTAAGGTTACGTCGCAATCTGAAAAATATCTTGGCTTCATCCTCCACCTTCCTCTTCCTCTTAGCCTCAGCCTTTGTATCAAACCATACAGAGACGGGCTACCTGGCTTCTTTTTAAAAAGTAAGGCGTCTAGTGCTGTGAAGCCTTCCGCACCATTCACGAGATGACCTCGAATCGCTGCCAAAGTTACATAGTGCAGTTAACAGGTGATCGGGCCACACTGTGAGTAAGTGAGAGACGCCATTCTCTCTGTTAAAAAATGATTGCGCTATTAAAACGACCTTTGAAGCTACTGTCAAAAGATGGAAAAGTCACATTATTTCAGAGCCTAATTCTCCTCTTTATAATAAAAAAACAGATGATTCTAGCCGTGGATAGAGACGAGGAAATCAGCAGAAAGTATCATCTACAAGTTCCTCTATTGTTTCCCTTTGTGTGAATTCTTTCATGTGCACTACTTTCTGTTAGCGGAATCTACATCAAAGTGTGTGTGTGAGGACTCTCATCCGTCGGCGTTCAGCTTCAGGGGGGAAAATCTTCATAATTGAGGTCTGGCATCAGTCAGAAAGTGATACAGTGTGTGAATCTTTTAATATACACTTACTAAACTGATACCTCTGTAATTATTGTAGTACGGCTTTCATGTCAAATCGGAGATGATGTCAGTGTGTGTTTTGAGTGCCAACCTTTAGATTCCTTGAGAAGAATAAACAATAGTGTAAAAGGTGCCACGGGAGGCTTACAGGGGTTCTGTTAGACAAACAATGGCGGCTTCGTTGGCATTTCACTTCACTGAACTCCGTGAATTAAATGTTTGTCGGGTCTGGGGGGCATGACCACGCTAAGCTGGATGCATCCAAAGGCTTTTGACAATTACCCCACGAGACTCCAGAAAGTCTGAGGCCACATCAGAGTGGAATAATTAAAAAGCAGGGTGAGGCTTCTGTAATGCCAGCGAGGGTTCCCACTCAGCGAGGAGGAGGAGGAGGAGGAAGGAGGTTAAGCTGATGTCATTCAGCCGGAGGCACACAGAGAATACCCCGGCCGCTTTGCCAAACACACCGAAAGGTTCCACTCTAACCCTGAAAAGGCCTTTCACCACTGCCAGTCTGCTCGCTGTAAACGCCTTAATGTGGTGACAGAGCGAGCTGTCTCTTCAGTCACAAGAGCTTGTAAATTAACCCAGCTTGTCTGAATAGATCACCGTAAACTGATTTCTTTTTTCACCACAGACATGAAAAGATTTTGTGATCAAACTGCTATTTTCTAAATTAATTTATTGATGTAAATGGTAAATCAGATGATCAGAGTGATCTGCGACACAAATCCAGAATCCTGAGGCGTTTGCAGACTGGAGCTTCTGTTTGAAGCGTCTCTACAGAGAAAGATCAAGATCCTTTTTTTTTTTGTACTAGACACCACGATGGTGATTGTTTTTTGCAGCAGACAACACAAAAGGGGAGCTGATGTGAAGCTTCTTAATGGTTCTTTTAGAAATGTTCTAAGGTCTGTAACCTTTACAGATGATCAATTGTTCCATGCATTTACACTTTGTATGTTTCATGACTCTCCCTGAAACCAAATTTACCTACAGTTACAAATAAAGTATCTCAACCTGAAAAACTCTTAAGAGGCATGGGTACACAAATTGGGGCGGCTGTGGTTCAGTTGGTAGAGTCTTCGTCGAGGGTTCGATCCCCAGCTCCAGCAGCAACATGTCTGATGTGTCCTTGACACAACGCGCTTAACCCCAAGTTGCTCCCGCTGCTTCGTCGGCTGCGTGTGAATGCGTATGAATGGTATTAGTTACTTCTGATGGTCTCACTACATATCAGCCTCTGCCCTCAGTGTGTGAATGTGTAGGTGTGACCTGCAGTTTAAAAGCGCTTTGAGTAGTCAGAAGACTAGAAAAGTGCTATACAAGCTCAAGTCCACTTACCGTTTACCGTTTACAATTTGGGTGGAAGTGAGATGTTTCACTTGATAACAAAGCACGGATGAAGTAGACCCACCCACCTTTGAGAAATGGATGAACACGAGGTCTACATTTTGGAAAAATTAATATTTTCTATCAGAGAGAACCAAGATAAGTTTTATCGGATATGGACTAAATGCACTGAGTACTTAAAACCTGTACGATCTGACTTTACTTCATTTTATTTGTAAAATGGTGACAACCTGCCCTCTCCATCTTGTTTCGTCTTCTTTGTTTGATGTTTGGACAATCACAAGACGTAAGCTCCCCGGCTCTATTGTTCATGTGTTGTAGTAAATTAGTAATTTTAAAGAAAGCAATACGGACAAAGACGCTCAGACTTTCTGCGCCCACCTTTCCCCAAGTCCCCAAACAATGGACAGAAAACTTAAAGTGGATCACAGAAGTCTGTAAAGTAGTGAAGGTTTTGTGCATTAGAAGTTATATTTTGCTTTTCAAATAAAAAGGGTAACAAAGTAGATATGAAGTTACAGAGCTTCAGTTTTTGTATGAAGAATCTTTTTCCATGACTGCGGCTCCTCGTCGGAGAACGGGCTCATATACATAGCTAGTAGCCATAGGGTGACGTACTGGAGCAGCTCCGAGGTCTCAGGAATGCTTACATTCATTTGGAATGCTTGAAAACTTTTGTCTCAACCTGTTGAACTATTCATGCAATATGTTAGTATTTCTGTGAACTGGTGTTTCCTACCTGCTCATTATGGAAAGACAGGATCAAACACCCTGAATGAAGCTGTGTGTGGCGTTAGGATTTCTTGAATTGTATCTTTTGAAGTGGTCGAGGAAACATCTTAAGATCTGCACAATTTATCAGGCTATCTGAGATGAAGGTGTGTTAGAACTGTGTTTTTCAAAGTGGGGGTCCCGAGCCCCCCAGGGTGCTAGGGGGTTGGGGAAAGAGGAGGAATGAGGGGTGGGGGGGGGGCTACGGGTGAAACATAAATAAAAATCAACGAATGACATTATTTGTGACAGTAACATTTGAAAATCTGTCTTTTTATGTTATTCATAACTGCATATCAAAACCTATGTGTTCTTTATCGAAGCCAATCTTTCAATTAAAAAATAACACAGGCGCACCAGTGGCCAAGTGGTTAGTTTGCACAACCCATGTACAGATGCTGTAGTCCTCAAAGCGGGCTGCCCGGGTTCGATTCCAACCTGTGGCTCCTTTGACGCATGTCATTCCCCGCTCTCTCTCCCCCCAATTTCCAACTCTATCCACAGTCCTGTCTCTAATAATTAAAAAAAATAGGGTTAGGGTCTCTAACCCTTTAACAGAGGAAAGTAAAGTAAATGCAATGACTATAAAGAGAGAGAGAATTCTACTGACTATTACTGTTATATGAATAACAAGATTATTAGTTGTTGATGAAATGTACAGAAGCCCTTTCACTCCATTTTCCGATGATGAGTAGGTTTCAGGTGTTTTCTCGAATGTTATTCCAGGATAACGACGCTCCTGTGATAATGCCTTAATTGCTTGAGATTTAAAAAAAAAAAAAGACTGAAATTAAGTCTTTATCACAGCTAAACCAGCGTCATAATGAGATAAAAAGTTGAGAACACATTAAACCAACTGAAATGTACTCGATATAACGGGCATGAGGACTGAAATAAAATGTATCGCATGTCTGCCGAGGCCTTCTGTGGAAATATATTAAGACGATGTTTAATTTTTGATATTTGCCATCTTTAAAGACATTTTTTGTCAGACCCACGAGAGGCGAATGCTATATAGGGTCCTTGGCATTACAAAGTTTGGGCACCCCCGTGTTAGACTTTGTGAATATCAGTGGGAAGTTACAAGTTGATCAAAGTAAGTTTTAAAGTTTGCTTCATCTGTTTTTTTTACCTCCTTGTTGTAGGTTCTGGAGAAGGGCATGCGTCTGGAGTGCAAGTGTCACGGTGTGTCAGGATCGTGCACCACCAAGACGTGCTGGACTACCCTCCCCAAGTTCCGTCAGCTGGGATTCATGCTCAAGGACAAGTACAACCACGCCGTGCATGTGGAGCCTGTAAGAGCCAGTCGCAACAAGCGCCCCACCTTCCTGAAGATCAAGAAACCCCATTCCTACCGCAAGCCCATGGACAACGAGCTGGTCTACATCGAGAGGTCGCCCAACTACTGCGAGGCCGACCCTCTGACCGGCAGCATGGGGACACAGGGTCGACTGTGCAACAAAACGGCTCTGCAGCCCAACAGCTGTGACCTGATGTGCTGCGGTCGAGGATATAACACACATCAGTACTCCCGCGTTTGGCAATGCAACTGCAAGTTCCTGTGGTGCTGCTACGTCAAATGCAACACCTGCAGTGAGAGGACAGAGGTGTATACCTGTAAATAGAAATATTTATTGGACGTGACTTCGGACGCACTTTTACACTGGACTTAGTGCGTGTGTTGTTCTTGTACTTAAGAGTTCGCTGTGGCCGATGCACACACGTGGAGTGATTGCCTTGCTCTATTGGCACAAAAAAAATAACTTTGTCAGGCTCTGCTTCCAACATGTGTTGATTATAGTGATGCCAATGGACATCTGCCGTGACACTGGACTTTAAACCTTTGGGCTCGTCCTTTTTGAAATCCAAAAGACACTTCATGCGACAGCCCTGACTTCTCCGCTGGCCTGCTGCTCCTTGAACGATTTTTGTTTTTCTAGAACTAATAATTTATTCAATGAGAAAACTACTGATTCTTCTAAAACATCACTGACGACATAATCCGGTGACGTTTTGTATGTTGGATAAGATTGCCGTTTGTGTCAAATATCGTATGCGCACTTAAAAGGAAAACTAGTTTTTCTCTTACACACTGGAGCTATAAACTGAAATGGTCTGAAACTAACTCAGCTGAATGACACTGCAGCTTTTGTGAATTAAGCCAAGCAAAAAAAAAAAAAAAAAAACCTTCAAACTACTGATCCTGGGCTTGGTATGATAGTATTGTTTCCTGTTTCTGCCCCCCCTGCCCCTGTTGGTTTGCTGCTAGTAGCCTTGTAAGGGAGTCTGTCACTAAGCGGCCATATTGACTCTTCAAGCTAGCTTGACGTCATCAGGAGCAAACATGAGCTTCTGGACATTGCCCTTCATTTTGGTTGATAGAATATATTTGATAAAAGATTATTTTTATATGATATTTTTTCTATTTATTTTCGTATCTATATGTAAGATATTTTCCCTTTAGCATTTTTAACTGTACAGTTACTGAGTTTTCCAAAAGGAAATGTCCCGCTGAGGCACGTTTTTGTTTTAAAGATGTGCCTCGTTTCTCAACAGTAGAATACCGTTAATTACACTGAAATGTGCAGTATTGGGATTTTTGAACCATTTCAGTTAGTATTATCACAACTTGCCTTGAGAAAGAGAGTCAAAGTCCTAACGTAACCTCCGAGCTAGCCACTGTCTCACAAACTAGCTTAACTGATCCAGTGCTATCTGTGGTACAAGGTTTCTTTGCTCTGTCTTTTTAAAAATGCTCAATATGTTTTTTTTCTGGTGTACTATCCGTATCGAAGCATAAATGAGTGTATGCTACAGCATTTGCCCATAAAATCTGAACCACTGATAGTTGGAAAGGTAAACAGTGATTTGTTTGTTAGCATACAAAGTGGTTAGCTACTATGAATTCAAAGCAGTGCGCTTCAGTTTCTATGGAAATCTCTGCAGATTTTCTATACAGAAATCGATGTTCATGATTTCTAGGATTATCAGTAAAAGATTTAAGACATCGCTCATGAAATATCTAATCAAATTACCCCCCCCCCCAAAAAAAAAAGATCAGAGCAAGATATCATTCACAATTTTGATACTTAACAGTGTTTTTTAAGATTTATTTTTGGGCTTTTTGTGCCTTTCTTGGAATGATAGGGCAGTGGATAGAGTTGGAAATCAGGGAGAGAGAGAGAGGAATGACATGCTGGAAAGGAGCCACAGGCGGGATTTGAACCTGGGCTGCCCGCTTGGAAGTCTACAGCCTCCATACATGGGGCGCGCGCACTAACCACTGCGACCCAATACTCAACAGTTTTAATTTTCAGTTTTATGGGCATGTTTCAGCTAATACTCATTAAGTGTTCACATTTTATTCCCAGTCACGATACATTAATATAAAAAAGTGAAAGGTGCCTTTACTGGACCTTTTTCTTTTTAAGTGTCATAACAGGATGGTTATAGATAGAACTGCATTGTATCAAGCCTTCATAACAGGTTTTATTTCATGGTTAAAAAACACAAATGTGCCTGAACTGATGAAAGTATATCACCATATTGCTGCAGTGCTCTTAAATCAGAGGTCATTGTTGACCTGTTTCATGTAAAACCACATTGCCTTCTCATTTGTCTTTGGTTAATAAATGTTGTCACAGAAGTAACAGAGGCGTATTTTATTATCATCGGTATTTTCTGAGTCTTATCACAAGGACGGATCCGAGTGAAGGCGGTTTGATTGAGGGGTTGTGGTGCAGAGGGTGTCACATGTGAGGCACACAGTGAGCTGTGGGAGTGAGGAGCTGCCGGCTGATGGATTACTCTGACATCTGCTTCATTCACTCCTCAACAACGTTGCTACAACAACCACACTGTGCCCCCCAAAAATGCTCCTTGTCTCATGGAGAGGCCAGACTGCCCATTAACAAAATGGTAACCATGCAAAACCCAGATAAAATTTGGATGCTATTTATTTTGTGGAAATGGCAAATGGGACGAGAGCGGTGAGGGGGCTTTACAATTGCAAGGGGATGATGTCAAGAAGGATTTCAATCCGGGCAAAAGAAAAGGTCTTAACTCCGAGAATAATCGGAACAAAACATTCCTCGGCTAAACTTTGCCTCAATAGAGTGACGCTCTCAAAAGGCAGCTGGCCAAACAGCCTCGGTTGGAGTAACACCGGCGCTCTGTCACTGAGTACTCGACAACATTATCCGAGTGTCTCACAGTGCGCTGGCTTGTTGCATGCTTCCCTTTTTTTTCCCCCATCAGAGAAGCTTCCAGCTAATTCTGTCAACATTTAGTCGAAACATAACGTACAGCCAAAGATGGAGACCTGATACCTAAAGTTGCTCAAATATTATGTTATTGTTTCTTAATGGAAATTCTTCTTCTGCACTAAAACAAATCTTTGGCTGTCTGAAAATGAAAGTTAATTCTTGACCTTGGATTTAACCGCAGATGCACCTTGGTATTTCCATAATATACCACAACATGATCAATAATCTACGGAGCCCCTCTGGTGACATTGGTGCAAATTGTATAATTTGTGCCCACAAAATAATATTTTGAGGCCACAAAATAATAAAACAGTCGGCATCAAAGGCAACACCCACAAAACATCACATCCGGTCAGCACTGAGGGGAAACGTAAACAAACCGCTAGGCACAGTGCTGAAGGACTGCTGTATGCCCTTCGTCACTACAAATAAACTGAAAAATCTAAATCCAAGGTTTTATATTTTACCCAACCGAAGCACAGAGCTAAGTAGGAAAGATGGGAGGCGGAAGGACGAGCGTAGTCGCCAGTTGGATCCAAAATTCAAACGTGTATGTCTGTATGCAGCACTGCAGTAGTACATTGTTTGCAGTAGTATTTGTTTTAAAACAAATTGTTGTCTCAAGACATGAAACAGACATTGTGGTGAGACTTGTAAAATGGTGTTAGTCCTCCTCCAGTATCACATACATAAAAAACTCAGCACAAAGTTTTTCTCCAAGACCTCTGTCGACCAATCATCCTGCGCCTGTTAAATTGTTAAAGCTATCCTCTCGTTCGCTGTCTGTCACTTTGATTGTTGTGACCTTCCTCCACCTAAATGTCCAGGTTCAGCTCTTTAGAAGTCTACTCCTCACCACCACCAGGGTCAAGACTACATTTTCGGGTGCCAAAAGTTTCCGCAGTGCCAGGTTCTGTTGAGCCTGAGCCCATTGTTCAGCCTGCAGCCAGAATGTAATCACAGACTTTGCGGTTAGAAAATCTTGTTTTTATCATATCGTGATATTAACGCATATGCAATTAATCGCTCGGCATTAATCAGAAGTAACTAATCCCATTCATACGCCACAGATGAAGCAGCCAAGGACACATTGTACATGTAGCTGCAGGAGGTGGGGATTGAACCCCCGACCTTCCCGATGGAAGATGACTGACTCTACCAACTGAGCCATAGCTTTAATTCAAATGAAAGGTTCAATAATGGCAAACAAAAAACAATCAAATTAGATTTACCTTCTCAAGGAAATAAGGATAAATCAATCGATCAATCTTTATGATATAGTGCCAATTCATAACAAGTGTTATCTCGAGACACTTTACAAAAAGCAGGTTAAAGACCTTACTGAAGTAATTAGGATAATAAAGTACTCAGGATGAATTGATTTAGACCAGATATGAAAAAGAATAATAGAAAAACCCATGTGAAGGTCAATAGAATGATTGCAAGAGAGTGCAGTCTTTAAATAAGCAGTGAATTCAACCTAACTAACGAATGACAGAATGCAACCAACAACCAATCAAGGTAAAGGAGAAGAAAGGAGAAACCAGGAAGGAAACTGAAGGAAGTGAGGTAGGTGAAGAAGGAAAGTGAAAGGTAACAAAATAATGATCTTTACTACAATTAGAGTAAACTTTTTTTTTAACCTTTTCTAAAAACAGAACAAACTTTGGCTTAAACAGGCGCTAAAGGTTGTAAGTCAGAGCGCGGCACAGACTTGTCTCCTACAGGCCTCGCTCTGTGAAAAACCACATACCCGAGAAAGATCCTTGCAGCACTAATGAACTGCTTCGTGGTGTTTTTCCTGTAAACATGGCTCATCACTGCCAAGGTCGCAGAAGTTTAAAGCCCTCGCTCGCTTATAAAGGGTCTGGAACGGCTGGTGCTAACCTTGCTGGGACTGTCTGCGTGTGGTGCACCTGTGAACACCTGCTTGAGGCAGTGGTCCAGAAGTTATGACTTAACGCAATGTATGCCAGCCTTCTGACATGAGCAGGCTGCTAAAACCGAGACTGCCTCATCCCATTGTTTGTTCTTGAAGCTGCCAATACGCCACCCAGACTTCTTCTGTTTATAATCCAGAGTCAACGTGGTGTTTGTGAGCTTACATCTTAATATAGAACTTTACAGATCAGCTCTTTCAGCATGAACGCTGACAAGTTAGTGCTCACTGCAAACAACACTGGAAGCTGTCATGCTTGGCTTGTGCAGGAGAGATTCTCTGACAGAGCGTTGATTATTTAAGACAGCGGCTGCTTAATAACTATCATTACAGCAGCTCCTCGAGAGCGACGGCCAATCAGGGTCCAAACAGAAACTCCTCATTGCCAACAATGACGTCGCAGCTGAGGAATGAGCGAGAAACAAGGTACACATAATTTGGAATACCAAAGGTTTTAATTGAAGAATGCATAAATCAAACATTTCATATCGCCTTAACTGCGTCAACATAAATCATCATTTGGCTCTGAAGTGATTGAATAATGAATGATGTGTTATTTGTTGTTTGAAATAGGCCAAGGTTACGGCACGCCAGGTAATGATAAATCCATAGCCTCGAGCTTAAACTCTGCAGCTGTGAAATATTTTAAGCCCTGAAATGTAACAGCAAATGCAATAAAGTTGTTTGTTAAGGTGCACATTGCTAGAAACATTTCTGCAGGTATCTCTCTTGGCTTTAATCTCTGCAGACAGTTTTGTTATCATTTGATGAGCTTTTAAGATATCCATCTCTGAGATGAAGCCTCAGCCACAATATAATAGGCGAAAGCATCTTTCTGTGTGTGTGGCTTGGAACGGCATGGATTTTTTTTTTTTAACTGATTAGAATTTGTTTCACAGTTAGTTGTAGTAGGCCTCATGTCAACCTAGCATTTCCTGGCTGTGCACGCTGGAACGATTGCATGAAGCGTTTGTGTGCTTAGAAGGCAAATACTTCAAGTTGCAAGTCTGTCCTGTCTCTATGACAACAGTCTGTTGACAATGGCCGCTGTATGATCGATACTGCTCTGTTGCTTTTTACTGTATGTCTTATATTTCAGATCGTTTTTTAATTCCAGCAGATATGGAGCAATGGAGCAAAGAGAATATGTGTACAAGTTACCATCCATAAGTGGTAAAAATATGGGGAATATCACACATGTGGAAAAGAGCATCAACAACGCCTTTCTGCAAAGTTGAAAGATTGTCAACTTGAAGCACATGGAAAAACACACTCTCATTGAAAGAAAATTCAAAATAGTCACTGTCACTCAGGAAAAAAAACACTAAGTGGACACGAGGCCTTTGAAAGTTTTTTTTTTAAACTATATTTCGATTTGTCTGTCTACAGTCAGTATATCTAAAAAAAGGCGTAAAAAAACCCCAAATAAATCTTTAAAAACAAAAAGAATGGGCTATGCACAAACTCTTTAAGTAAACTCATTTACATTTCTACTGTCCATTGTCAAAGGTTGATGAGATGTATCTGCACTTTCCTTTTTCGCACTTGAACTTCAGACATTTTTATGTGCACATGAGATGTTTGAACAAACAGCAGGGACTGTTGCCAGAATCTGTTTGATGCCAAAATAGAGCTGTGAACCTGGTGGATCATGACAGAAATAGGATAATGATGCTCTATTGAATTGGCACACACCAGACAACAATAAAACCCACAATCAAGCACATTAAAACACACACACTTTAACAGTGTTGTTACGTATTAATGGGGATTCCTGCTCTTTTTTTAGTGAGTCAGATCATCTTGACTCGGCTCAGCAATGACGCCTCAAAATGTCTCTCCTCCGTCCTGGCG